CTGGGTGCCGCTAAGAGAGCCAGCTCTTACGCTCAGCTGGACGGGTGGCATCCCTCACACCAGCATATGCCTGCGGCGGTGCAGCGCCAAGTGGTCTGACCGGGAAAAGCTGCGATCGCAGTCCGCGCACTTGAATGGCTTCACTCCCGTGTGTTTGCGGTAATGCCTGGTCAGTTCATCCGAGCGAGCAAACTTCCAGGTGCAGCCTTCCCAGGTGCACTTGTAGGGCTTCTCCCCTGGAAGACACAAAGGGACACGCGCTTTGGTGCTCCATCACTTTTCTGTAATAACCAAGCCAGCACTACATCCTGGGAAATGACTGTTTTTCAGTGGGTTTTCCATTTGGTAATAATCCTTCCTCAGGAAACCTAATCATCCCATCAGCAGGTGTGGGGTCAGATGGAGGGGGAGGGGGATTAATCTCCTCTCTCCTGCTGTGACATCTGGCAAGTGTGTTAACACTTGCATCTTCCATTACAGGCAAATTACTCTGCAGTCAAGATATCAAAAGGCACAGAGGGATGGCTACTGGGTGGAGCAGCCGCTGACCACTGGTAGACTCCAGTGGGATATCAGAGCTCTACCTTGCTTGATGTGGCTCTACAGCTGAAACGCACGACAAATCACCAAGGGTAGTTAATTACGTTTTGTTTCAATACTCCAAAATGTGCATCTCACTTAGATGGGTTAAGGCTATTTTGGAATATAGTGTCCACTTATCAGTAACTGAAAAAATATGTAACTTCATTAAAATGGAAAGCACCCCTTCCAAATGAGGTATTAATAAGTACATATAATTCATAAACATCTACTTTTTGCATGTCTATTGGGAACGGATCCGAGATAGCTTAATAGTGTAAAGTTTAAATACTTTTTTCAGTGACTTGGGAATTAGAGCAAGCCCCGAGGAATCCTAGAATTGGTTCAGTGTAGAAACTTAGAGTAAAAAGCAGTCCGAAGAAGTCTGTAACCTGACCAGGTCCCTCAGTCAACTTGGAAGGACAGTAAAATATGCAAAGGCTTTGCTGGGAAAAGATACACTATCTATTGTCCAAATGAGCTCCCAGGGGGAGCGGGACAATAGCTGACCCAGGTGTGCTTTTTCCTGGCTCTCATTCAGAACGGGAGCCCTGTCCCCATGCAACCCCACAACACTGATCTCGCCTGTGCCCCTTCCACCCAGTAGCCAACAGCATGCTGCTTGGCCACACGTGGCCTCTGGTGGACAAGGCCTGAGAAGGGAAGAAAGCTACCTGTTGATCCATATGTAGAAAGCGACAAAGTGAGCATTGTTAACCCCACTTTACAGATGAGAAAGCTGAGGTTCAGTGTAGTAAAGCAACTTCCCCATGGCCAGTAAAAAGATGTGTTTGGCTCCAAGTCTAGCGCCTTTCACTGTGCAACAGTGGAATGGGTAATTCTTTCCTCATCTAAACTTCATTACCTCCTCAGACAGTGCTAGTTTCGTAGCTACTCCCAAATTACTCACTTCCTATTCCTATTAAATCACCTATCACAGTAGGACATACAGATTTTGTTTAGATACCTTTCTCCTTTACCAGCTTCTCCTGAATACATGGAGATCAAGAACCAGCTCTCCTCTAGTTCAGTATCCTCACAGCCTAAAATAGGTACCAAGCAAGTGCTTGAATGAATTAATAACACTGCAACACATACACAGAGGCACATATACACAAAACTACAAGTAATCCCTATATGGGAAAACTAGATGGAACAGGACCCAACATTTTTCATTCAATTGTTAACAAAATACTATCTATTAGCAAATGGCCCTTTCAGAAGTAAGTGAATAGTTCAGACCAGTTAAATCTACAACTACTGATGCACTTAATTGTGGCCCAAAGAAACCTCCAGGTTACTCTGAAAGGGTTCTTTTCAAGAGGAAGCCTACTGACTGGATTAACCCCACACCTCACCTTCAGACTAATTCTCGATGTCCTATGGAGACAAAAATCTCATAGGACAGATGTCTATTGACCAGAATTTAACGGAATTAAAAAAATAAAATAAAATCAGCAAAACCCCTAACTTAAAAAGATTGGAGGGTGTGTGTGTGTGTATTATATCACACATCAATGGCAACTGTTGACATGCTTTTATTTACATGTCATCCCTGTATGTTTTTGAAATTTAGATCACGAACATGGATTCTAGTAAATGCAGCTTGATATGAATTATGTCTTCATTTTGGGGGCACTGAGCTCAGGTAGCTGACTCTTTGACACCAACAGGTATTTCCTAGCTATCATCTCCTATGTTACAATGGAACCAGCCACTGAGAGTATAAGGCCTAAGAAGGGAAGGCTAAAGGATTTTCTTAATTGGGAAGAAGCATTTCTCAGTTGTGTGGTAGGAGGATGTGTGTGTCCAGCTTGGTGAGGAAGTGTCATCTGAGCATGGGTGGGATCAGACATGTGCTGGGCCCTCAGCTGGCCATCCCAGGTCAGGTGAGGGGAAGAGGCTCCACAGCTGGATGGGCCTAGACAGTCAGTAAGGGCAAAGAGAAGGAGACACGTACTATCTGACACTTCATAGAAACTCTGCTGACCTTTGATGTAAGGGAGGCACCTCTGCTGTTTGTAGGCTTTTGGATTCTGTGAACTTATTGGATGGGAGTATATGATGCAGATGGTTAGTTTGGGATGGGTGGGTGAGGGAATATTTTGGCTACAGGATAATCACTCATTCTCGACTCTGGACCTCAGATACAATTCTAACAATTCTCTCAGTAATAAGCACACAATATCTCACATCAAATACTCCGAAATGAAAGTTCTCGGTAATAGAAAGCGAGTGATTCTCTGAAAAGGCTCACCAGATTCAATCAGGGTTTAAAAACTATTTTCAGGGTCTTTTCTGCTCATTAAAAAAATGAAGGTCTTCATTATGCGGGTGAGGGTAGGATGGAGTAAGGTCAGGAATGTCTCTCTATACTTTAAGTGGTAACCGAAAGAGCAATGATTCTACACAGAGATGAAGCTCCCTCACCCCCACACTTTTCAGGACAATTGTGTTACAATGGAGGGAAGAATCAGAAAGCCGGAGCTTAGATGTTCGGCAATGTTTCTAAGATGGATATTTCAAAGCGGGGGAACAGGGAAAGCAACAAGTCAGGGCACGGGACCAGGGAAACAGTAAAAATCTGAAAAGTACTTTGTGAGGTGGAATCAAGTGCAATATGTGATCGTGAAAGACAAAGGTGGCAAAATGGGTGAAGGTGATCAAAAGGTACATCTTCCACTTATAAAATAAGTCATGGGGGTGTAACATACAGCATAGTGAATAATGTACAGCATAGTTAATAATAATACTGTATTGTATAGCTGAAAATTGCTAAGACATTATAAAAGTTCTCATCAAAACAAAAATTGTATCTATGTGTGGTGATGGATATTAACTACACTTATTGAGTGATCATTTTGTAACATAAAAATATCAAACCATTATGTTGTACACCCAAAACTAGTATGTTATATGCTAATTATGCCTTAATAACAAGAGATAAGGGAATAGACCTCAAAAATACAAGAGGCATATATTTCCCTGGTCATGAATAAAACCAATAAAAGTAACATATTGTATATATTTAGCTTGCTACTGGGGTCTGGCCAAGATGGGCCAGACACGCCCTGGAGCCCTTCCATGGTCTCTCCCCAGCCCCAATTGTGCACCAGTGAGGTCCCTCGGCTTGGCCTGCACCCTCTCGCAATCCAGAACCCCTCAGGGGATGTCAGAGAGCCAATTTCAGCTTGATCCCCACAGGCCAGGCTGAGGAACCCCACCTGTGCACGAATCTGTGCACTGGGTCTCTAGTAAGCTTATAAGTTACTAGGGGCTAAGTGATTAATGAAGGCATAAACAAAGAATGCAAACCTCCACTGAGGAGGGGAGGAAGGATAAAGTATGTCAAAAACCAATAAATTTAATTATCTGAGTGATAAATGAGTTTTCCTTGAAAATTTTCTTACAAAAATGTATAGATTCTTTTAAACATCAAAAAAATCTTATGCTAAATACTAGAGGCCCGATGCACGAAATTCGTGCAAGAGTAGGCCTTCCTTCCCCTGGCTGCTGGCACCGGCTTCCCTCTGGCACCCAGAAACTGGGCTTCCCTCCGGCCGCCAGCAGGCACCCAGGACCAGGGCTTCCCTCCAGCTGCTGGCAGGCACCCAGGACCTGGGCTTCACTCCGGCCCCGGTTTTGTCTGGAAGGACATTCGGAAGGCTGTCTGGTCTAATTAGCATAGTACCCCTTTATTGTTATAGATTCCTTGTCCTTACTACCTCCTTAATAAAATTGGGAAATGGGTATTCTATCTCCATGTTTAAAAATAAAAAAGAAAGCAGGAAAAAGCAAGATCTTCTAACCTCGTTTCAAAGTCAGAGGCCAAGCTATGGAGATGGGGGAAGAGGAGATGGCTACTCCGAGTGGGCAGGGAGCTAGCTGGCTCCTGGCCCTCGCTAAAGGGAGACCTAGGTTTTGATTGTACCCACCCAGTGCTTAGCATCTCATTATAAAACAAACAAATAAGAAATGCTCCTTTTGAACTAGTCAAGTTTTAGAAACAGATATAAGAACAACTTCAGTGGCTACTACATTGTATTAAACAGCACTTTACACTTTGTGCTTTGAACAATTTAAAGGGTATGATCTTATAAACAAATTAAGATAACAGAAACTAACTTCCTGATGTGAATAAAACTAATTAAAATGGTAAGTTTGTAAGATATATTATAGTGTGCGTAAATGATCTTTGAAGGATATAATGAAGAAAAGACAAAATTTTATACTTCCTTTCCTTTAAATCATGCTAGAAAATAGAAAGCTAAATTTAATGTTAAAACATCAGTGGTAGCCCTGTCTGGTGCTGAGTGGAGTAGTCTTGTACACCAATAGGTCGAGAGTTCAAGTCCCAGTCAGGGCATATACCCAGGTTGTAGTCCTGGTGGGGGCGAGTGCAGAAGGCACTGGATTGATGATTGATGTTTCTCTCTCTTTTTCTCTCTCTCTGTACCTCTTCTTTTCTATGTCTCTAAAATAAACTAAAAAAAAAAAGCATGTCTTCTGGTGAGGATTTAAAAAAAAAAAAGCCAGTGGTAGAGAAAGAATGGCAGGTAAGTTTCCCAGAAAAGTCTTCTTATGGAAAGTGTTGGCTTGGACAACAAAAGGAGTCAGGCTTCTCCCCAGGTCCATGTTCTGCTGCTCACAGCTGGTC